AAATCCTAATTCATATAAATCAAGAAATTATCAAATTTCTTTGGGAGTATTTTGTGTCATGACTTTTTAACCCTGAGCTTCTTGAGATATTTACACAATTATGTTTTTAATTTCAGCATTCTCACATTTGATGGAACAAAATTCAGGCCACATATAAATTGTCAAAGTAATTTTTTTTTCCCAGTTTGATCAGTTATATGCTGTCACTTTGAGTGACTTGAAATTGTTTCTATCAAACATGAGAATGCCAGAATTAACCAAAAATGGTTATGTAAACAGACATAGAACAATTCTTGAAAACAAATGTAGCAAATTTCAAAAGTACTCAACAAGAAAATAATATATATATATATATATATATATATAAAATTATTGAAAAGTTATTTTGTTGGCTATTTTTATCTTGGATTTGGAAGTTGTAAAAGCTAGTAAATATCACCAAAATTATTTTTTGATATCTTGCATCAAGTCTACCAGGCTTTGTTTTCTATTTAAAGATCACAGCACCCTATTTAAAATGGTTATGGGATGTTTCTTTTCTGCTGCTTATATCTTCTACTAGTTTGCCTTATACTGATTTGTCTTGGAAGAATTTTGATATTTAATGGCTATTATCCTTATTGTTGATTTTTATTTAAGACCTATTTTAAAACCTATGTAGGTTTTTAAAACTGATTTAAGTATTGAAACATTGAGCATAATATTTGTACATATATTTTGAATTCCTATTTGCCAAAGTTTTATAAACTGTTGGAACTGAATAGGCATAAAAATTAAACAAATTCAGACACAAAATTATAAAATGTTAGAAACAGGCTTAGATCCCTCATGGTGGTTTGTTTTTCAGCCTGTATAAGGTCTTCTGTGTACATACACATATTTTCATTCCTAACTGTTTTTATTTTTTTGTTTCTTTTTGAAAGCTAGAATGAGATGAGGATGATAGTCTGAATATCTCAAAATATTTAACCACCTGCACACACCATTGGTCAGTGCTCAAAAGTTACCATTTACAGAAAAGAGATCTCTTTTTTTTTTTTTCTTTTTTTTTTTTTTTTAAGACATGACAAAATTTCTAGGCTTTTTGTTCTGAGACTCTGACTCATAACTACAAAACTCAACAATATCAAATAAAATTCTTTTGTCATCAAACTTTTTAGTTTTTCATTTGTTAGACATTGTCATTTGAATTTATAAAAACAGTTGCTAGAATGTTAAAATACAAAAATCATAAATTTAAAAATTTTCTTGTAAATTTGATTCTTTTTAATACTGTGGTGTTTAAACTATAAAATTAAAATATTAAAATCTTTAAAAATCCTTTTTTCAAAATAGTAACATTTTGAATATTGATATTTATTCCTATTTTGCTACACCTCACCTCACAAAATAGACTTTATCAAATGTCTTCAATTAACCGTTTTCTTATTTCCTCATTTTTTTTTTCTTTTTGTCATTTCTATTTTGGATTTTATTCATCACAGCACTTGTTCACTTACCAATCTATTGCACTCTCATTGTTTGCATTTCTAGACATATTTGTAATTTATCATTCCTGTTCACATTGCTTAATGTATTTATTTGCTGCATTCAACAGCTCACTTCTTGATCTTTTGTCCACAGCTACATTTTTTTAAAATCTTGATCAGTTTTGCATGTTTCTCAATGATCATTTGATTTGACCTGTACTGAAATGAATTTTTAAAAAAATTGTTACTCCAATAGAATGTATTTTTGTTGTAAGATGTTATCATTGGATGTTAACATTTTGATAGCATTGAAATCACCAGATCCAGTATTAGATATAGTGGGGCCTCATTTTGCTAAAGATAAGCAACAACTCTGAAGGTTATATTTACTTTATGCATTATCTCTATTGTCTGGAATAATAAATAATAATCTTAAATATAAACATTTCTAAAGATTTACTGGAATTTGATCTCTGCTCTCAGATTTCTCATTCCAAGCTGCTATCCATTACACCACTCATTCATTCAACAACTGGAAAATTCATGTCAAGTTGGATTTGCAGGTATAGGGCCCCCGGTTTTTCATTTCAAATTTTCCTTGATTCTGTTTCCACTTTTGGGAAATTCTGTTTTTACTTTTGGGAAATTTCAATTTTTTTCCATTTTATACTATTTTATGAAAAAATTGCAATGCAATATGCTATAAGTATTATTAAAACTGAAAATAAAAACATAATTCAAAGTTTTATTGCATATAAAGAAATAGCAAATATCTACAAATATTTTTTTTAAGTGTTAAAATCCAAGTCCAAAAATAAATATATAAAAATAAAAAAATGTAACATGACTAGACAATAAAACAATGGAATGTCAACAGTGCATATCTTTGAGGCAGAACTTTTAATCAGAGCTTCCTTCTTTAAGAAAACATTCAAAACCCAAATTGTTTTTGTTTTTTTAAGCAAAAGTATTTAGATTGATTTATAATTATTGATTAATAATATAAAAACCACATTTAAGGTATTTAAGCAAATAACTTTAATCTCAATAATACATATCTGAATAAAGTCAAACATTTTGATTAAAATTTTATAAAACAGTAATCAAAACATAACTAATCTTTGTAACAAAATATTAAACAAATTAGACATATTAATTCAAAATTTAAATAAAACAACTTATCCCAAGTTGAAATGCTGCTCAAATTTAAAATTATTAATTTCTTAATTTGGAAAATATTTAATTTTCAAATCTTTTCTCTAAATCTCCAATGTAATATACTGTGAGTTGCTTGATGTTCTCAGGGGTAAAACTTTCACGTTGTTTATTGAGTAAATGTTTATACTGAGAAAATGAACTTTCATCATCTATGCTGGTAACAGGCATCCATATGACCTTATTGGCAATCTATTCCAGAAGAGAAAATCTGCTCTTATTTGCATTCCAAAATGATGGGATATTAAAAGGATTTGGTAAATCATCTTGATAATTCACATACATTTGGAATTCTTCAAGAAGATCAGTAAAAGGACATTGCAAGTCCTTGATGTCTGCAAAACTGTCTAAATCATGGTCTATATAGGGTAGCTGTCTAGGATCAAACAGGTGAGTTGCCTTGTAAAAGTTACACACAGTGGGTGTCCAGGTATTTATTCAGTTTTGAAAAAGATGTGCTGAAAAATTCTTGGAAATTTGAGATAATTCTCTCTCACTCTCTGTGTTATGGTGAAACACACCTATTCTATAGTTAATAGACTCTCCCACCTAATATAAGTAGGAGTAGTAAGAGAAACGAGGGTCAGTCGATGTCAGACAACAGTAGTCGACAGTCGAATATGAAAGTCGTCAGCGACCACAACAAGATTACTCTGCGTAATACCTATTATATCAAGTTCCTAACATTTTGTACGTCAAACTATTTAGGACCAATTTAGTACAAATACAAGCCTCCACTGCGAAATAACTCCACAACAACTTTGGCAATGAGGATTCGCACTCATTCGGAGGAAGAAAAAAATTCGCTCGCCACAATAACTTCAGCGACAAAAGTCTGGGATTCACACTTAAAAAAAAAAAAAAAAAAAGCTCTACAACAGTCTATGCAGTACAGCACTTTGATATTCTCCATGTTGAAGAAATTAAGAACCCAGAAGTTGGAATTGTCATGGCCATAGTTTTTGGGTGATAAGAAAGATAGTAATCAAAATATCTTCAGAAGGACCAAACACTTAATACAGAATATTGTTCTAATTTGTTGAATCAATTAAGAGGCATTGAAAGTAAGAAGAAAAAAAAATAAAGGACAATGCACCTGCTCATAAGGCTGATAAGATGATGGATGTTTGGAAGAATTTCTGTTTTGAATGAATAAAGCTAACCATCATTCTTATCAGATCTTGTTTTATTACTTGTTTCCAAACCTTGAAAAGAGTTTGAAAACTGAACATTTTCAAATGATTTGGAGGTGATTACAGCAGCAGAACAATATTTCAATGTTCAAGCGTAAGGACCGTTTTTTTCTTCAAAGAGTAAACAAAAAAAAACTTGAATTTATTTCATGGCTTTTGTTTTAATTCCCTTCCTGGTTATGACAAGAACTTTTAGTACCCTCTTTTATTGCAGTACTTTATATAAACTGATTTGGAAACCTTTATGAGAACATTTTCTCTGTGCATTAAACTGTGTTATAATGTCACCATTTTCATAGAATTTGCCATGATGCTGATTGCATTGGATGTCCAAATTCTTTTTCTTCTCTTTCCACTTATGCAATATCTTGATATAATCCCTGTTTTAAGCTATCTGACTCTTCAATTAACCAATTTCTAATATTTTTATTTTGTTAATGTCTTGTTTCTGCCTGATATTTGAATGTGCTTACTGTCCAAGTTGTCTTTGTGAAAATGTATTTTGCATTCAGTGTCTTGTTGAAAGAGAAATCTTTTAACAGTGCATGTATTTCTTTTGTATGATTTAAATTGCTGAGTAATGTTATAATTACAATAAAATATTTTTTGTTTGTTTTTAATTAAAACTACCTTTTCTTTTTCAACAGTTTTGTAAAATATAACCAGCTAATATAAAAATAATTTGACACTTTCAGGTCAGCTATTTTCTAGTAAGGGATACCGTTTTTCAACTATATATTGGAGTAGATTTTCAGTAAATAAGAATTTGGTAAAATGCTTTTACATATCTCTGATAGGAACTGTGTAGAAATGTTTTGCATTGATATTAATTCTAATGAAGATTCTGCATAAATGTGAACTGTCTTCTGAGAGAAAATTCTAAGTTATTTTAATATATTTTCAATCTTTCATTTTTCAATGATGTTTCTGTTTTAGAAATTTAGTACAAAGAATTTGTTTTTACTGATAATTTCAGGTGCTTATAAACACAGATCTTTTTGTGTAAAATATATTAAATAGTTTATTTTGTTTTTCTTAAATGGTAGACATGGAACCTTACATTTCAATTTGCATTGATTACTTAATGAATCTTGTTTAATTTTTGAATGATTTCTTTCTCTAGGAATTGGAGCAGAAACTTGAATTGGACAACATAGAGAAACAGAGACTGGAGCGAAAATCCAAACAATTGCAGAGGCAATTAGAGGTTGGTTGTTTTTTTTTTTTTTTTTCTTGCATTTAATCCCATAAAATGAAGCACAATGCATTAACCTGGTATGTTGTCATTTTGTTCACATACAACTCACTTAGAAAAATTGTTTTCTGTTTTTCTATTTTATCAAGAATATTTCAGTTTAACATGATAAATTCATGTAAGGATAATTGTATTATTTATACAGTTATTGAATTCATAGTTTTTATATATGGTCCAAATCATTGTGGTGCCACATAATAAATGAAAAGTGTAGTCAGATAAACCCCTTATGGCAATGCTGTCATTTGCAAGTAAATTTTCAAGGATAGATAATGTTAATTGTTTGTCCTGTCGGTTCCAGGAATTTCTAAGGCTAAAGAGGAAATGGTCAAAGTGGTGACTGACCCAAAATGTACCTATTCTGAAATGGGTCTGAAATAGGATTTGGTGCTTTATATATATATATATATATATAACATACAATGTTGAGCACTTATGTTTCTCATCTCCACCAGACTTAGAGGGACAGTCTTTTGCTTGAGCCAAAGCAGTGGTGGCAGCTGTTGACCTACTTGAAACCTGTGATCTGATTCTGAGCATGAGTGATTTTTTGCCATGGTGATAGAAATGAGATACTACTGTATTGTTGTTAGCCTTCCTAGTGATTTGGCATCAGAGTAGTATCTGAAAATGTTGCAAAACACTATCCTAAACCCCTTGAAAGCTGCCATTTCACTGAACTACCTCCTGGTATGTATCCATACCTCACATATAAACATCTTATGACAATATCAACTCTGAAGAAAAAGTTCTGTTTATCAGCATGTTCCTTGAAAGCCAAATGGATGAGACTGTGATGCTATCATTTGGGGGTAGATTATGAAGGACAGAAAAACGTTACTTATTCAGATGGGACTGGCACTTTCTCAGGGCTAAAGTGGTAAACCAGTGATTGACCCAAAATGTACCTAAAGGAAGAAAATGAACAAAGGAAATAAAATAATATAGGTCCTGTACTGTAATAACGGAACAAAAAAAAAATTCTTTTAAATATAATCTTTAGGATTAATTTTTCAACTAATATCTGCTATCAAATAAACAAAAATAAAACCATTTGGTATATATCATTTAGTAGTGGCAGAACATTGTTTTTTTTTAATATTTTAATCCTTGTATTTATAATTCATTTTTAATATAAGAAGGTTACTATATCAAATAAATAAGCCTTTTTTCTTTTCTTTCTTTTTTTTTTTTTTTTTTTTTTGTAAATGTTATTTAACAATATGAAAATAGTATTTAAAACAATTGGAAGAAACATGAACATCACTGGAAAATTTTAGAAAATGAGCAAATAGCTTCTAAAACAGTTTTTCCTACATAAATAATTAAGAGATGATTTGAAAGATTATCTACTTTTACTAATGCTTACATCATTGATTCGAATTTTAATTTAGATAATTTATATCAGTTGATGTTTTGGATTTTTCTTGTTTATTTTTATGTGTATCAGGATCTTCAACAAGATGCTGAAAAGTTTTCTTCAGAAAAGAATGACACTCGAAGACAAGATCGTCTACAAAAAGAGAGAATAAAAGTAAGTCCATTAATCAACAGCATTGAAATTTTTAGCTCTGCCTATGTGCACAATTTTTATTCTTAGTAAATAGATTCAATGAAAGAAACAAGGAGTAGCAGAAGGCTAAATCTCATTTTGAAATTACTAATTTTTTTTTTTTTTTTTTTTTTAATTGACAAAGGTGTTATTAAAATACTATAATTATAACCAACTTAAAAATTCTGATAAAATTAATGTTACAGATTTTGCAAGCAATCATTCCTTATTACTGTCATCACACTAAAAATATTTTGGTATATTTTTTATTTATCTGCTTAAATAATTTTTGATATCTTGTTTTTAAAGTATATTTACAATATCTTTAAAATACTCTGTAAAAATATAATTTTATGTACAATTCAGGAGATTATTTTGAGTGGAGGGGAAATATTTATTTACTTGGCTTTATTTACATTATTTGTCAAAGAAACAAGCTGTTGACTGAAGACAAATGCCATTTGATAATGGCTGAATACAGCTTGGTGTAACTGATTTGATGTAATAGTCTCAGATTGACTGTCACTGTGTGGTTATCAATGCAGTTTGAAAATTTAAACTCATCTCTGACATGACAGTATGAAAATAATAAATAAAATGTTTTGTTTATTTTTCTAGACTTCTATTATCTCAAATGGGGACAAAGTTAGATATAGCATAGAATAATGACTGCATGCATGCTATCTACTTTTAATATGGCAAACTTTGAGGGTTAGCAGCCTGACTCTGTAAAAAAATACTTATTTGGTATGGAATTATACAAATAGTAAAACCTACTAAGGTGAGGGCTGTGGCTCTGTACTTAATTTCTCCAGACAGCATGTATTACTTAGATTGACTTTCACGTGCTGTTTTTTTCAATTCTGTCATTTGACATTACTATAAAACTATTTCAGGAATTGGAAAATGAATTAGAAAGACAGAAGACATTGGCAAAAGTCAAGGTATGTCTTGTTTTGTGTTGACAAAATGATGTATGGCTTGATGATTACATTAATTGAAATATCTGAATAAAAGAATTTTTTTTTTTTGTGTCTGATTTTCTGGCAAGATTTTTGGAAGAGATTTTTCTCTTTTGTAGCCAGTTGAACTACAGCCATGTACCATAAGTGTAAGTCACTTGAGTAAAAGAGCTCCGGATGATGCTTTACAAGGGTGAGTAATTAGATTCATTTACATGATCCAAACTTGTTTCAATATTTGTAAATTATTTTGTTATATCATGAAAATATTACAAATAGAAAATAACATAAATTGAGTTTAATAATCTTGTGATGTTACTTGAATTGAATACTCCAGCAAAATGATAATGTTACATAACAGAATGTATACATGAAGATATTGAATCCATTTATTATTTTTGTCTCTTATGTGAAAGACTAAATTATGAAAAAATCCAGTCCCTTGAACAAGACAAGTCTCTCCTTGAAGCCCGTGTCACCACATTGGAGCAACTGATTCAAGAGTACCAGAAAAATATTGAAACTCTCAAAGCAGAAATTTTAAAAGTAAGTATTTTCTTTTTAATTAGATTTATTAAATAATAAAATAATTTAAAGTTCAGAGTTGACCAAACAGTTAACAATATAGAAAGGAGAATGTACAAACGGAGTTCAAATTATTATTTTTCTAAATTTTATAATATTGCTTAATAATTCAGGTTAACGGTTACTTCCTGCTGTAAGTAACATCTAACCAAGTTGGTTTTAATAAATTTTATTTTTTGAAGATGATTTAAATCTCTTGATAAATAATCTGTTAATTTCTGTACTATTAACCAGACTAGATGGTAAACCCAAGAAAATTTTGTTCACTTAATTTTCTATCTTAACAGAATATTTTTCTATGTATTTAACCTGTGTATGTATTTTTAGTGTTCTTTTTTTTCTTTAATCTTGATTTGTCCAATTTGTTATCAATAACTCTCTACATATAAAACTAAACAAAAATATTCAGGTTTTTGAGACTTGTTGAGATAATATATATATATATATATATATATATATATATATATGAAACTTGTTTAGTAAAATTTGCCACTTAGTTGATTTATATTACCTTCAACATCCAGATTTTCATAGACTAACCTGTTCGTCCACTCTTCAAGGAGTATTAATATATATACACACACATAAATTAGGTATTTGAAATATTACTTGGGGTAGATTGCATTATGCTATAGGCTGGCCACCTGATTGAATTAAAATTAATCTTTGTTTTGTTTGTTTTTTGTAAATGACAATATTTTGTTACTTTTATACATTTTGCAAAACATTGGGAACTACACAAAAATGTCAAAAGACTATGGAAAGTTAGTCTTTCTGAATCTAGTCTGAGCTTGTATTACAAATTTAATGTGCACTAACTCCTAATACTCTTAACATTTTTCTACAAATGTATATTAAAGTTCAAAGATATAAATGCAAACCATATAAGATGACTATCAGTTGGATGATTGATTATTCTGTTTTCATGACATATCATTTCTGTTGGTTATTTAAGATTTTTAAAAGGTTATTCTTTTAAATTAAATATATAGCTTATAAACAATCCTTTGGGTTGTTGGTTGCATCACTCATCAGTTAGAACAGAGATATTTCATGCTATAAATTGTAGTATAGACCAACCTCCTTCAAGTATACAAGGATTTATCTTTTTGAAAAGGTCCTCTAGGCAGTCATGTCATAAAATCATTGATGTATAGGTGCTCAGTCACCATGATTGGTTAGAATGTTTTACAAAATATGCATCCTGACATGCTGTGTATTCAGGAAGATGTTCATTTTTAGTAGAAATAAAATTCTAACCTCTTATCAAACAATATTATGAATTGGTGCTGAAAAGTTTTTAGCGTAACCCACTTCCCAAAATGTGAGCATTATTTTGTCATGTACATTATAAAATGTTAATTTTCAAATCTGTGGCTGAACAATGTCAATGGAAAACATGAAATGCTAACATGTTAAACTTCAAGCAGTACGAGGTGCCTGTTTTTGCAGGAAAATACTCCAAATGAAATCTGAGTGCATGATGCAATCACTGAGTAACTGGTCAGTTAGACTCCAGATGCAGTACAATCTGGGATGTCTTCAATGGTGTTAACTCCTGAAATTGTTGATCATGTTCTTAACTTAGTTTTGGCCAGAAGAATTGCTGAAACACTAGAAATATCCAGGAAATGTGTTGGGTGTATAATTCATGAGCACTTGAGCATGAAGAAGCTGTCAGCCAAAGAAGGTACTAAAATGTTTGAATACTTACCAGGAAGAATATTGTTTGAACAACTAAGTTGATTTTGCAACAATTTCAGCAATCTAGGAAAGAAATTTGTTTTGGGAACAATTTGTCACTGTTGATAATAATATGGTTACACTATGATCCAGAAGTTCTACAACAGTCTATGCAGTACAGCACTTTGATTCTCCATGTTGAAGAAATTAAGAACCCAGAAGTTGGAATTGTCATGGCCATAGTTTTTGGGTGATAAGAAAGATAGTAATCAAAATATCTTCAGAAGGACCAAACACTTAATACAGAATATTGTTCTAATTTGTTGAATCAATTAAGAGGCATTGAAAGTAAGAAGAAAAAAAAAAAAAGGACAATGCACCTGCTCATAAGGCTGATAAGATGATGGATGTTTGGAAGAAATTCTGTTTTGAATGAATAAAGCTAACCCTCATTCTTATCAGATCTTGTTTTATTACTTGTTTCCAAACCTTGAAAAGAGTTTGAAAACTGAACATTTTCAAATGATTTGGAGGTGATTACAGCAGCAGAACATTTTTCTTCAAAGAGTAAACAAAAAAAATACTTATTTCATGGCTTTTGTTTTAATTCCCTTCCTGGTTATGACAAGAACTTTTAGTACCCTCTTTTATTGCAGTACTTTATATAAATTGATTTGGAAATCTTCATGAAAACATTTTCTCTCTGCACTAAATCGTGTTATAATGTCACCATTTTAATAGAATTTGCCATGATGTTGAATGCATTGGATGTCCAAATTCTTTTTCTTCTCTTTCCACTTATGCAATATCTTGATATAATCCCTGTATGTCCTATTTTGATTCTTGATAGGATGATTTCTTTCTTCCAAGAAAGTCTGAGATCATGATACCATTTCAAATTTGAAATATTCATTTTTAGTGATTCCTTTGCTACCATGTCAACTTTTCTATTTCCATGGATACCGATATGGCCACATACCTAACAGAAGACAAGTTGGTTTTTCATGCATATGGGATTGTTTGTGTTTTTGTTTCTCATTGATTTAAATACTGATAATGAATCTGAGAAAATTATGAAGTTGTCTGGTTCATTGCCTGTCATGATGCCTATAGTCAAGTCTATGGTTAGAGCTTTAGCACTAAAAATAGAGACTTTTTTTTCGATTGGGTATTTTTTGATTGCTATGTCATCAAGAACAGGTGAACATCTGACTTTATCAATATTTTTTGAGCCTTAAGTATATGTGTGCTTATAGTTTGGATGCTCCTGTAAAATATCAATATTTTCTAAAAAGGTAGATGGATTGGTATTAGTTTTAGGGTGTTTGGTACAGTTTAATAAAACTGGTTAACGAAGGTTATTTTCCAAACTAGTAGATTCAGTGGTTAGAGTAGTGTCTATTTGTGATTCATTAATGCAAATTCTGAAAAGTTTGATGGCTTTTTTCTTTTTGGCTGAATAGATTTATATTGTGGTTGATAAACACTGTTGAATGCAGGGTTATTTTAACAGGTTTGGTATAGTATTGTAGCACTAATTTCTGACGTTTTAGTGCCAGAGACATTTTATCAGTTTAGCATACAGGCTTTCCAAAGACCTTCTAGGATAAGTTGTAGTCCTTGAATTGTATCAAGTTCCTTCAGATATAACTTGTTTGCAGCAACATAAATGAAACAACTACTATCCAGTTTGTAACTAACTAATGATCACTATAATTTCAATAGGGTCTATCAGCTCCCCAGTCTGTGCAGGCAACCACTCTGAGTATTTGAATTGCTATATTACATTTAGTTCAGATATTTAATGTAAGGTATACAAGATAATCTTCTTCTGTGAAAAATAATGCCCAAGAATTTATATTTGTCTACTACAGGATTATCAGAACATAAACATCAGGGTTGTAGTGTAGCTTTTGGAGTTGACAGACATGTACAAACTGAGTTTTTGTTATGGAGCCATTTTCTGTAACCCATTTATTAATTTCATTGAGATATTGTTAGAGTTAGCACTCGATTGTGTGGATATTTTTCGATCTATAGCAGATCAAGAAATCTACACAATGAACTGTCAATTCCTGGATTCAGGCATTTAATGATATTTTAATATTAAAAAGTGTAACTGGTAAAATACTTTATTGTGGTACACCCATTTTTTGGTTATACAAATCAGAAAGGGGAGTGCCAACTTGGGCATTGGAAACACACTGTTAGAAAGTTATTAATAAAGATTCTTTTGAGACTCATTTTGTTTTTATAGGCTTTTACTATGTCAAAGAACACTGCTGTCAAGTGTTCCTCTTTAATAAAATCATTTCTAATAGAAGATTCCAGTCAAACCAGCTGGTTTATTGCACTTCTATTCTTTCTAAAACCAAACTGGAAGTTTATAATTGTTATTAACTTCAAAGTACCAGATAAGTCTATTATTAATCATCCATTCAAGAGACGGTTGATAAGTGTGATTGGCCAATATTTTAAAGGATTTTCCAGGTCTTTGTCAGTCTTTGGAATCTGAGTGGATTGTTGTTAAAGGATTTTTTTTATTGGTAAAAAAAAAACCCTACAAAAAATACTTCAAATAAACATTTGAGGTAACATTTAAGGGCACACAACAAAGACAGACAGCACGAGCTGATAAATTTATTAACAGACAAAAAAATGAAAGAATTACACAAATTAAGTGCTTTGTGTGGCAAATAATGGCCAATAACATGCATGTAAAAATAATCAATGCAGCAGCTGTTAGTCGACTCTTCAAATTCAATTCTGCTTCTACTTTTATTCACAAAGTTATGCTTTAGATTTGTTTCTTGGAATTTGGAAGGAAACCTTTTGATTGCTTCCAAATGAAAATCAAATGCAGTTTTTTCCCCACAAATAGGAATGGTCCAAAAATATTTTTGAATTTCAAATTTTAAGCAAGAGCCCAACACAGCATCTGTTTTCTCTCAGAAAAGTAGACAATATATACTCAAGCCACTTAAATTTCTCATTGTTGCTGATCAACTTGCTGAAATTCACTACTGATGTCAAAGTAGACCATTAAAGTATCTTTTTACAAAAATGTGCCTATTGCTTATCAGCTGAATGCAGTCATGTTTTCTATTAGAATTGTTTTGAAGCCATTTGGGATTTTTTTTTTTTTTTTTTTTTTGGGGGATTCAAGGTAATGTTGTTAAAAAGGGTCTATGAAAAAGAGAACCTGTTCATATTAATCATCTCCGCTATAAGAATGTTGATAAATAAAAACTGCAATATGATTTCAAATCTATTAGCAATTGGTTATTTTTTGCCACTGTCTAAATATAGATATTAATGGAGAGATTAAATCCCATAAAAAAATTAAACTTACAAAAAGAAAAACTAAGTAACCACTTCAATATTTGAGTTTGTAATCTTGCCCAAGGAAATGTAAAAGATGAAGCCCCCCCAAATAATCATTTAAGTTTTAATGAAGATCTTTTAATAGGTCTTAATTTTGTAAAGCAGTCATTATTTCATTAACATTTTTATCTAGCTTTTGTTAAATTTTCATTAATTTTATTCTTTTTTCAGCAAGACAAATCGAACAAAGAACTTGTCAAAACATTGACAGAGGAGTTGATGTCATGGGAAGAAGAAGCTACTAATATGAAAACCAGACTTTTAGAGCAGTTAGATCAAATGAAAAAAGAACGAGATGTAGCTGAACAGAAATGTCTTTTTTCCAAGGTAACATCACTTACAAAGAATTCAATTTGCATGTTTTATCCAATAATGGATGTCACTTGAGCTAAATTTCTATTCATCTATTTAAATAAGGAAATTAAAAACCTTGTTAATATAATTCTATTTTTATTTTGGTATACATTTTCTGTAATAGACTTTCTTTCTGTAAATCATTATTTATATCTGTGTTGTTTTTATTTGTTTCTGGGATAAGTTTGGTTTGATTTTTGTTCTTTAAATAGTTCAGCTTTATAATAACAACATTAAATAATCTCTTGATCTTTTAAGAATTTGATATTGAATTGCAATCATGAGCAACGATTGTTTATGAAAGTTGATTAAAAATGAATCATTGTCTTTACTGTTTATGAACATTCAGAACAAAGTAAGTTTCTAATGTAACCAGCTACATTATTATATTAGTTGGATAACCAAGAACAGATTTAACAAACCTATTTCTAAATATGAGTGTAAATATGTGTTAGGTTGGGAAAAAAGTTTGTAGCAATTTTCAATAAGTAGCGTTTGAACACTGGATTTCATTTCACTTGTTACTAAAATTTCCAGCACATTCTTAATCTGAAAGAGACATTTCTATATGATTCATGTTTGGATTTTGAATTTTAAATATTTTTATTTTGAAAATAAAGTGAAAATGGAGAAAAATTAAATACATTTTCATTGTTTGATGTACTTTTATTTCTGGAAAAGAAGAAAGCACACAGTACAAACAGCAAAAAAAAAGATATATGATGTTTGAGATAGTGCCATAGTTGAGAGTATTATTTTAGTGGACATTTTGATCTGGAAGACAAAATGTCCACAGAATGTTGCAGCCAGCCTGCTATCATTGATGATTACCAAATTGAAACAAGGTTTAAAAATAATCCAGGTCACATGCAGAGATATTCTACATATCTCGCATATCTCATTGTAAGGCATTAGCAAACACTTGTACGTATGAATATTTACAACTAGGCTAGAAACTGCCCTTTAAGTGGCCTTTAGGTTGGCTCCTGCAGAGGATTTTTGAGCCTTCAGCCTTTTACCTTCAGCATCCTATGTAAGTAAGTTATAAGAATTTAGAAATATTAAAATTATTTTATTTTTATTCAACACCTTAATTCAACATCTTTCTTTGTATACACAATCAATATCTGTAGTTTGTTTACATTTTTATTTTCCCTTAAAATCGCCATTGTTTATGATCCCTTCACAAAAAGTCAATCTTAAAAGACATTAGGAAAACCTGAACTATGTAATATTTCAATTAGGTCACAGTATGCATGCTAGAAAAAGAAAAAGAAAAAAATCAGCAACATGCCCTGCTTAAGGTTTTAATTATGGTTGAATTAGACAATATCAATTGCAATCACAATGAAAAGTGAAAATAAAATTAAACCTTTAATAAAGAATTGTTTTTTTTTAAACCTTTCACTCTGTTCAATATTTAAATTTAACTTTAAATGAGTTATTTATGTAATTTTTAATTGTGTAACTACAGTAGTTACTAACTGTTATTTCAGGTTTGTCAAGATCGAAAAATGAACACACGTATGCGCACTTTATTTATATAGATTGAGTGCCTCATTATTTAACAGAAAAATATTAATGGTCCACATTTCCATGTGTGATTCTCTTAAATGCAACAAAAATTGTCCATTTTTGAAAAGAACAGTCATAGGCAATAAATATTGGATTGTTTACAAAATGGTCCTGCAGGAAACAAAAGGAGCCATTGTTAGCCATTTCAAAAGTCTGTATATGAACAAGGTGATAATGTATATCTTGTGGGAGTAGGTCATTGTATATTACAAGCTCCTGCCATAAAATCAGGCATTGAAATCAGTCAACTACTGTTCACAATTAAACCAATTAAAGGCAGCAATAGAGAAAAAAAATGCCTGAAATTGGTTAATTGGATGAGTGACCCCTGCCATCAGGACAATATCTGATTTAATTTCTCTTTCTGGACCCAGCAGAAATTTGCACCGGGTATGGCTGGGATGTATTGCTACATTTGCTGTATTCACTTGACCTCATATCATCAAATTAACACTTATTTCAATCCCTACAAGATTCTCTTAACCTTTGAAGCCTGTAAAAACCAGTTGATTACCCAGAAAGATGCTAACTTCTGGGAGAATGGGATCTTAAAGCTGCTTTAAAGATGGTGAAAGGTAATGGAACAAAATTGTGCATATGTATTTAAATAAATGTCTGTACAAATATCTAAATATTTTCTTCGAAATTCATTTAGAAAATGCTACAAACTTTTGTTCTGACACAATACTTGCCCTGTGATTAATTACTAGGTGTAATATGAGCTGTATAACATGCTTAGACAGTAAGAATCCATTCAAACAAGTTTTATGAAAACCAATCAACAAGGTTTGTCTGTATCATCAAATTTATGGAAATGTAACATGTGAAATAATTAAATTATGACTATATATATATATATATATATATATATATATATATAATCACAACCAAAAACTCTTGTCTTAATTATCAGTGTTAATGCTTTCACAGATAAAATATTATAAAAACTGGTTTGTAAACTAATTTAACACATTTTATAAAAAACAAATTAGTAACATTTAACAGTTGATTTTAATAAAATTTGTCTGCAATATTGCAACTTTGTGGAAATGTCTAAACAGGACAATTACTGATTAGATTATCTTAAGTTTCTCTATTGACATATAGATCAAATTTCAAACATTTTCTCTATTATAAAATTTCACTGTCTTGAAAAATAGCTACATCAATTGCTACAATTGAGTGAATCTGCTGGAACTGTACAACATAGTAATAAAGTTAAAATATGCTATTCAGTTAAACTACATAAAATATTTCATCTTTATTTCTTTAGCATATCCAATAGCAGTTGTTTGACACTAAACGGTGATGTTTAGTTATAAAATGTTCTGTAATTTATTTCAAAAGTGAATATTTGTAGATTTCATATGTATATTGATATTGAATAACTCATATTAATGACATTGTTTTTAAACCTTTGTCTTTATTGCAATCTGTATATGTATTCTTACTGGAGTAGAAGAATGTCAGAAAACATTGAAGAACTGTTGCTACTATAATTTTTTTTATATATCCTCAATTACATTCTCTTACCTATCAGTTGCCAAAATCAAATTTTGCTAGGTCTGCCTTGTCTACAGATTTTCTATTGCTTCAATGTGATATTTTAATTTCTGTATGTATTTCTTTCCTAGTATTTTAATTCAACCCAGGAAGAAAATAAATAGTTTATTAAACTACTTTGATTTGGTTTTCTGATAATGTGCACATTTTCTTTAAAAAAAAAAAAAAAGTGTATTCTTTAAGTCTTTTTATATCTCTTGATGTTCTTTGCTTTTAGAATGCTGATGACAAATGGCAGCTGGAATTGGAGAAATCTCAAGAGCAGTTGCTACATTCGCAGCAGCAAATAAAAGTTCTCAAAAAAGATCTTGCTGAGACCCAGAAAGAGTTGAATCAAGCCAACTATGAACTTGAGAAAGTGAAAGGTCAGTTAGAAAAGCTTCACTCAGAGCACAAGATTGTATCAAATAAAATGATGCAGAGCAAATTAAATGAAGAATCCAATAAGGTAAGAACTCAACTTCAGCATGAAACTTAGTAATATTATTTGTAATATTTTTTTTTAAAATGATGCACTCTTAACTATTGTTTTCACTAGTATCTAAGATTAAAGAAATATAAGTAAAAACTTAAAAATAGAAGTCTGGTTTTGTTTTTAATTTTTAGAAAATAATTTTTTATGATTTCCTCTGACAACTTTAAAAATGACTGCTATACTAAAACCTAAAATGTATTTTTATCTAACCTTTCTTTTTATGTGATATTTAGAGATTCTAAAATTTGTTGATTCTGTAAAAAGAAAAAAAAAACTGAAGCAAGATGAGTAAATGATTCTTTTTAATTTGCAGAAGATAAATATAAATATTTTGGGGCAAGGATTTTTACACGGAACTATGATAACTAATTTATTTTACTGTTCAAATAAATATGAATTACAATTACTATTAATCAAGAAAGATTAAAAAGGATTTTAAAAATTATTTTCATCTAAGCAATATTAACTGAGATAATACAGTATCATTTTTATATATATATATATATATATATATATATATATACTTTGTTGGAGAATTTGAGTTGTAATTTTGGCAACAATAATTGAAGTAACTTTAATGAATAAATATTATTCAAAACAGATCTTTTATTTCTTATTGGAAACCTAATTGAATTTTAAATATTGACCATTAAATATTTTCCTCTGCACTATTATAGATGAGCAGATACTCATATACACTATTCAGTGATCTGAAAATATTTTTGTCTAAAACTTTTCCATACAGTACATGTCTAGAAATGAAATTGATTTTATATAGCTTTTTGTTATCAACCAACCACAACACTATTTTCATAACTGCATGAAACCTTTACAGAATTGACTAACTTTATTCAATGTAGATTTCTTTTGTAATTTTGTGTCCTTGGATATTTTTTCTTTTGTCTTCACAGTTGCTTTCTATGAATGGACTATTTTAAGCAGTCATTAATTATTCCCTTATGATTTTAAAATTTATGCCCAGCACAAATTTGTTTCTTCTCTTTCTAACATCTGAATTGTTATCAACATCTTGGAGACATTTGCAGTACTTGTAAAATAATCAGGAGATTTAAGTTATATTTAGTAACATAATTTGACTCCTTTTCCTCTTGAATACCTAACATGGCCACTATGTATCTGTAAAGAAAACACAAGACTTTAAGCTTGTAATGAAGCTTTATTCAAAGCACTTAAACTACTGCCTCATGTGGGAGGTTTGATCATCACTTTTTATAGTAGAGTAGCTCAGCTATAGAGCAGACAACATTGGTTGCCACATTCTCCCCCACTCAATTTTATTCAATTGAATGTGGCGTAGTCATTTAAATGACTGGACTGGACATTTTGCAAATCTGTCTAGAATGTTGTGGTGGTTCCTGGTCAGGGAATTCAGACCATGCAAGAGATGTTACCCAGAAGTATCTTAACTCTTTTTCTGTATCCAACTTGGATTAGGAGGTTCAGAGTGTGAAAGTAAGTCACTGTTGTCAGTATTGCATGCTCTCACTTTGGTTGAGCTGATTTGGTGTTGATTTCAGTCATTTCAATCTTCTGGGTTTTACTCCTCAGAAGAATCCACAGTTGGCATATCATCAATGATATCAGTGTGGAAGTTTATGGGCTCAAAGGAAGGGGAACTTTCTTATGAGTTCAATACTCTTCCAGCAGGTGCCAACTCTCTGAATAAGAAGTTTGATCCCCCCCCCCATTGGACAAACAGTGCGGGTTGGCTTCCAGTATCAACTTGCTCACTGGCAAGTCGCATTTGTCCTTGTACATAATAATTCTGATAGTTTTTTAATCTTCCATTTAATCCAATTATAATGTCCACACAAATCATTACCCTGTGGATTATACTGTGTGGTTTGACTCACAGCTACATTTCTCTTAATTAAGAATTGCTTCAACTATCCCAACATAAAGGCTGTTCCTAAATTAGTGTGAATATATGCTGGCACCCTGAAAATTGATAAGTATCGCAAACCAAGAGTAATCATTGATCACTGTTGTAAAATACTTATTTCCAGTTTTGCTTGGTAGCAACCCCTTGAAATTTGTCAAATCTTTCAAAGGGTTGCCTGGATTTCATGAGAGTTCCTGGTATGAGTTTATAGAACCAGGGTTTGATCACCTAATAAGTCTGAAAACAGTTGTTCATAATCCTCTTGACATCGTTGACAGAATGCAGTAGATTTCAACTACAAACCACTTGTAACATTCTAGTGATCTCTATAGGTTCAGGAGATATTTTGAGAGGGTGTCAACCACTGCGTTTTCTTTGCAGGGTGTTAGATGACATCAAATGAAAAACAGGAAAGCTCAATTCTCCATTTGGTTATTTTCTCATTTCTTATTCTTCTAATCAACCTAATGTTGTACATGAATACTACATAGTCTTAGTGACTCATCAAGTAATGTTCCCAATTCTTTAGGGCCTCTGCAACAACATAAGCCTCTTTTTCTTTTACTGAATGTCATCATCCTGACTGTGAAAGTATTCTGGAAAAGAATTTTATGGGGCAGACAGATTTTTCTCAGCAGTAGTACAGTTGGAGGTATCTGTTTCTACTATGTGCAAAATAGTGGGAGTTACTACCACTATGACCCCCTTTTTAAACCCTCAAAAGCTTTGATAGCAGGAGGAGTTAGAGGGAAAATTGGTAATTTGTGTTAATGGGTGTATTTATTAAGAGGACGAGGCTCTCTTTGGGAAATAATGTGTGGATAATGTCAATTTTAACCTTCAAGATAGACTTTGAAAGGCATTTAGGAGACATAGTTTGATACTATATTAATCACTAGCCAGCACTTCTGAACTGACAAACCTTTGAAAAATTATCCTTTCTTCTTACACTTGTGGCTTATTAACTTTCGCATAGGACATGATGAACAGGCATCCACAAAAATAACATTTATATCAAGTTCAGGTAGCAGTAACAGGTTGTTTGAAAGATTCCAGGTCTCCTTGAACTGAATGAACAAGAGTTTTTAGTATGAGGGCAGGTAGCAGAAACAAGACGTTTTGAAGAGAGAGAGAGACAATGTATTCTGAACAGATGGAAAATTACGAATTTGTGGGAATACTGCAATTCAACAATTTCAGGTTATATGTAAGATGCAAATTTTAAGCTGTTGTCAGGTCTAAAGTTTTATATTCAAGTAGGCTTTGTCTTATTTAGTGAGACAATACCCTGTTAATAAAGGTTTCTATTATAAATTTATCCATGGCTTGTTACACTATCAGTGCTTTGAAGTCACAGTCCTGGCTTAGTGTCTTCAGGGCCTGTAGTACTGGTCTAAATTTTTACCTGGGTTGTTTTCTAGTAGTCAGTAGGTAATGAGTAAAAATGGATTTTTTCTTTGTTCTTAATGAACATTTCTTGTAAAATGCTAACAGCAGTTTCATAGTACTTGCAAGAAGAAATATTTGTGTAAATTCACATGGTGACATGAAATGATAGATTATGGTTTTGATCTTTGATATTCTCATCAACAAGGACGTCTCTAGGACTGCAAGAAAACTGTTGAATAATGTTTTCCAGTGCTACCAACTATCAGTAGTATCTGAGTTGGATGCATCTAGGTTTAAGCATTCAGGCTTCAGATATTTTTCCAGAATTGCTTTGAATAACTTGTAAAGAAAACAGCCAAGCCTTTAAGCTTATAATGAAGCTTTATTCAAAGCAATTCAACCACTGCACATATGTAAAGTCTAACTATCACTATTTATAGTATTGTTTTCAAGGGGGAGATAATTATGGTTGTATTCACCATAGTATCCATAATTTAATAACCACTTTGAATAACTGGATTATCTTTAAAGAATTTCTTACAAATAAGTTTGCTAATGTTGATATATTTCTCTAAATTACCCACAACAAGAAATAATCTTTTTTTTTTCTTTTTTTTTTTTGTTTTGGCACATTTTTGTTGCTTTAAAATGCTGGAACCTCATAAACTAGAATTTTGTTTGAACATATCCAAATAAGTGTCCTTGCCATAATGCAATGGTAACCTAATATTACAGACTGCTCATTAATGAATTTCATCCATACTGAATACCTCATAGTTATGAACCTGTGCCAGATTAAGCTAAGCTTAGTAAATACCTACACTTATTTAAATATTATATAAAAAATATTTTCAATTGAAACTAAACTCTAAAAGATATAACACTTTGGTTCAAAGTAAGTGACTCTGAGAGACTGTTGTTGATAAAACATTGACATTTCTCCAGATTTACTAAATCTTGTAACTATCATCACAAGATTTAGTATCCTTTCACTCTTGAATTCATTGTTGCTTTACAAGACTTGCTTTCACTGTCTGACTATTGACTAAAGTAACCTCATCCACAATTGGGCAAAAAAATAAAGTGTTTAGCTTACTTAATTTATGGGTTTTTATTAGGTGAACTGATTTACATGTGCAGCAAATACTAATACATACAAATCAGCCATGTACATGATCTCACTTGTGCCAATAAAAAAAAAATACAGGCAGCATGTGGCTACATTCTTTTTTGATGACCAGTTCAGTTGATATTCAGTTCTCTATCACATGCCCCACTAATCTCTCAATCTCAGTAGATAAAACTGGGAGTGGCCTCTTTTATCAAATGGTTCTTGCTTCTCTCTTCACTTCATCAATAATTGAGTTTCCTTCCAGATAGTCATCTGGCTTAAGTTTATTGCAATCTCCCATTTACCCTTAGTTGTCATCTGCAGAGACAGATATTTCATGTGTGACATGTTGTCTCATGAACCTGAAGTGACTGTTAGCTGATAATAGTGACCACACAACACCAGGTCTTTGTTAATATAGTGTCTAACAGCTTGTGGAAGACTGGTAAAGAATGGCACATGGAAACAAGTATGTTTGATGCTCTTCAGTACGCAAGTATTGTGTCTGACCCCTAGGGACGGAGATTGGGAACCTTACAAACTTCACCGATAGAAGCCAGCGAACATCCA